AACGTTCTCGTTTTTACTTTTTAACAAATGTAAGTACTCGAGGGACGTTTAAAAAGGATTTTTCAAGGTATTTTTTATATTTCAAAATTTTTTTTTATTATTTTTATCTTTGAAAAAATAATTTATGAGTTGAATGTTTTTGTCGTGATTTTTCGATCGTAAAATCAAAACTTGAGCTCATCTCGATTCATTGCCAAGTATTGAAATATTTTACCCTTACATATGATTATACAATGTCTAATCTTCTTGTCTTTGTCGTTTTTTTTACTTGTATCTTGATTTACATCTTTTGCGAATCTTTAAGTTCCAATTCGATCGTCGCATGCAAATTTCTCGTCTCGAATCTTCGTGTCGTCAATTCTATTTGTTTTCAATAATCGTTAAACACATTTGAAATCAATTTGTTAGCGATAAATGCAATTTTGTTTGTGATAATCAAAACGAGTTGTCAACCATGTGTTAACAATTAGTGGCTCTAGAGTCTACGACCCAGAAATTTGTATAATCAACCACCAAACATGACTGAGCAATAAAAAACTCACCAGCAACCTGTTTTTTAGATAGTGCATCAGGGTAGTCTTTCTTCCAGTGTCCATAGTGGAAATACTTGCCTTTTAGCGTTCCATCTGATTTGAGCTTTTTGTTGTTGCGTGGCTTCTTATTAGATCTCTTCTTCTTTCCAACTCTGCATTTGGCTTGGAACTAGAGGAGTTAGCAATTGTCCCATGAGCATGGCCGCTCTTACTAGGGATGGCAACGGGGCGGGGCCCTCGCTAAGAAATTCCCCGTCCCTGCCCCATTACCCTTTTAAGGCGGGGCGGGGCGGGGCGGGGGTAGGTCCTTTCCCAATTTATTCCCCGTTTAAATTTTATTTTTTTTTAGTTTTTGATAATTTATTTTTATTGTCCATATTCATTAGATTTAGACAAATAATTTTAATTGTTATTTTCTATTAGGATTAATGAAAATTTTCATTTAAAATATTGAATTCTAAAAAATAAAATTTAACGGGGCGGGGCCCCCGTTACCAGTCATTTAAAATATTGAATTCTAAAAAATAAAATTTAACGGGGCGGGGCCCCCGTTACCAGTCCCCGCCCCGTTACCCGTTTAAGGGGGTTATCCCCGCCCCCGTTTGGGGGAGGGGGGAGGGCACAGGTATCGAGTTTGTCGGTTTTTTTCCATCCCTAACTTTTACCCTTAAAACCACTTCCCACATTTTGCAACTCATTCATCAACTTAGTTAATGACATATCCATCTTGTGCAAGTGATAGTCCATAGTAAACTGTGAAACATATCAAATTTCAATACCATATCAAATTGAGTTTCCAGATCAATAGTTGAGCCATGATTCTCCGCCACATTGAAGTGTGCAATCATAGTCAACATATGATCCTTCACAGGCATTTCGGGTTTCATGAGGATGTTCTGCAAGGTATGATCAGCCTCAAAACGAGCCCTCTTAGTTTGATGTCCAAACATACTCTTCAAGCTTCCTAGTATGTCATAAGAGGTCTTCTTAATTTCAAACTTTTGTTGTAACGCGTTTGACATTGATGCCAAAATATAACAACGAGCCATCTTGTCGCCACAATCCACTTATCATATGCAGCCGTCTTGGCTTTGCTTGTTGTCTCAGTAGGTTCTTTGGGACATTCCTTATCGAGTACAATTAAATTATGTTTCCAATCAACATAATTATGCCCCGACTAGTTGGTTTTGTTAATAATCATTTATTGCATATTAAAATTAAGCATCGAATAATAATTTAACATATGATGCATGAATTCATATGAAGATCAATCTAACTATAATAATGCAACGATAACTCGATCCTTGTGATCCAACATGCCTCTCTATAGGAAAGGTCATTGTATCCACTGATCAAGCTGAGAACCCCTCACTAGACAAATCGTATCTGACAACAAATGCCATCTATAGGATGATCACAAATTATATTCTATCTAGACGATCTTATCATAAAGAAATCCAATCAAGCAATTCGAACACTGCGGCCCTCCTATAGGGAGTTCGTTTCAATACCGACACAAGGCAAACGTATTACTTTGCTTATGGATTGACCAAAGGAGACCATGAGTTTTTAATTTAAATAAACACCCTCCCCACTCAATATTTTTATAGTAATGGATTTTAATTACCAACTGTTCACATTAATCATATAAATATACGATTCAATTATTACGATTTTTCCATCTAGAAAAATTTAATCTAAATTAAATTAATCAAGAAAAAATCAATGTTCAATGATATGCATCATATTCATAGTATCATGAGCGATGTCACAAATAAATCTATATGTTATGATATCTAGAACCATAATATTTCAAACAATAATTTAAAACATTCATGAGCAATAAATTAAAACTTATTTGTGGCCTTAAATGACTCAAAAATTAAATTAAAAATTAATTGGACCCAAGCCCAATATTTAATCAAATCTTCAGCCCAAAAAATTCCCAAGGATTCAACAGTAGCAATCCAAACAACAATAGGACTCTTTCACCGTACCTTTAAAAATAATATCGAATTTGACTTATCCATCCGATCTAATTTTCAAATACGAACCCGAATCAAAAGTCAACTCGAATCGTACAGGAGAAAATTCCACGCGGATCAAAAATCTGTTTGCCGCAGCAGACAGATCTGTCTGCTGCGCTTCGAGTTTTTCCTTCTTTTTTTTTTTTTGTAATTTCTTGATTTTTTCGATATGTCTTCCAAGTCTTCAATCTTCAATCAATTGACAAGATCCAAATAATTACAAAAATTACATAATTTCTTTGTCTCGTAAGTTGACAATTTTAAATCTAATTTGAAAAAAAATTAAATCAAGAAGATGGAGTCATAATCCACCTACCTTATTACATACTTGAAATAACAAATTACATCAATAACTTGCCACAAATAATTGGATCACAGTTTAAAATAATTCAATAATTCAATCATCACATTATAAAATATTCCTAGACATCGCTCGACTAGAACATGCAATCAAGATTCAGAAATAACAAACACGTGAACGTTTTATATCACTCTGATGCTAGTTGTTGGAATGTGGAAGCAGAATTAATCAGAAATTAAAAAAAATTATTTAAATCAATAAATAAGATCGTCTAGATATTCATGTGTATGTTATATCAAGAATTAGATATTCGAATTTTTTACCTAAATTCGATGATTAATTCTGAATCACGAACTCCCACCTTTTTGGATCACGAGCTTCCAGTCTTTTAATTACAAGAACTTGATGCTTCAAATCTTCAAGTCTTTTATGGTATTTTCCAAAGTGAAGACTATATTGGTGGGTGGGCATCTTCTTTTTGTTAAATCAATAAATTAATTCTTGGATTGGACGATAAGAAAATATTATTTTTCTCACTCTCTTTCTTCAAATTTGAACATTATAAAATTATGTATTATGATTCTTGTAGGATTTTTATGTCCGTCTAATATCTATTTATATAGATAAAAGATGTCTCAATCCATATAGAATGATAACTCTAATATCAAATAGGAGTTTTAATTAAAATCCAAGTATGAGTTTAATTAAAGTCCATATCCAATTAGTTTACATTTAATTACATGCGTAATCCTAGAACTTCAATTACAATTATAGTTAAGTTGACAACTTTTATAGTAATTACAAGTANTTACAATTATAGTTAAGTTGACAACTTTTATAGTAATTACAAGTAAGTACAAAACTTTATTGTAATTACAATCAAGTCCAAACTATTATAATTACCGTAATTAAGTTCAATTACTTTATAGAGTTACCACATGGACCTAATCGGACATATATTTTCCAAACTCCAATAATTAGATCATATCTAGCCAACCATAGACCACTCAATCTCATTATTAGTTTTTGCTTTCTCCACTAAAGACAAAAGATCGAACTCTCGAAATATAGAAGATCACAAAAGTCAATGAATATTTAATACTTCCTATAACCTATCGTATATGTATTTTTTTCCCAGTTTGAGATTCGATAATTAGGTACGATCATAAATGACCATTTTACCGCTCTAATTATTTTCACTAACTTAAGTACCATTTTCTTCAACGGTCTTGTGAACGAATCACAAATGTCGAAATTTAGTCATTACTAAATACTAAGCTCAAATTTTAACCATTCAACAGAAAATACTTAATTAGCCACTCTACCAATTTTTAGGGCAACGGTTCCCGACACGAATTTATGTTCTCTACTTCGCTCATTTTCGAGTTTCCAACTCATCGAGATATTTGACTAATCAAATTGATCTCACTAATTGATGAATTAAATAATCATTAAAATCACGAAAATATACACATAATTCTGCCAAGGGATTTAGATGAAATACGGAGCTGTCAAGTGGAATTTAATTCTTCGCACGGTCATACTATATAATTAAACTCGACACATGACCTGTTCCATACACTCCAAATGCACTAGTTTCACCTTTAACTATTTCTATGATAATGACAAATCACAAATTCAAATAGTGAATTGGACTGCAACCTTCTGGTACAAGGTATCAACCCTTATATACAGGTAGTGAACAAATTATTTATGATCAAAATATAAGTTGTGTTACACTGTACTTTTCAACGCAAGTACCCAACTTATGTTGTCATTAGTGATCATATGATTAATTCGCATGTTCAATAATTAAATAAATACAATAAATGAAATAAAAATAATTTTATTTAATATAAGAATATTGTTATTTTTACATAAGTGATCATAGACACTTTAATTCGCATGTTCAATAACTAAATAAATACAATATATGAAATAAAAATAATTTTATTTAATATAAGAATATTGTTATTTTTACATTAGCAAAAATATACTATATGAGCACACAACCCAACAAACAAGAGTTGCTCAATTATTTTCTCCGTGAACAAAATTTTGATGTGATACTGTGTAATTATAATTTATTTATTTTTTAATTACGAAAATTATTCATTCCACGTGAATAAGATTATAGATATGAAGACTATTGACTGGTCTAAAAATAGTGAATTCTCACAAGAGTTGAGGCCACATGAAGATTCTTCATATGGGCTGGACCCAGTCCACGATAGGCCCATATTTCTGGTGGACTCTTAAGTATCCATGAAGCACTGGACCTGACTAGATTTTGACCAGAACATTGACATAAACAGCACTACGACGAAGCAGTTAATGATGGAGGCACATTCCATACACTTAAAGTGGTGACCAATTTTTGACTTTGTATTTTTATAATTTTTCAATCTTTTTTTTTTTTGTTTTAGTTTCTTCAAAATCTATGTTACAAGTTAGGAGTTAGAAGCCTGGATCTGAAAATTATTTTCGTGGATGAATCATGAAGGTTCAAATTGGTGGCTAAATATCAATTAAAAATTAATATTAAAGGTGACGTTAACATTGTTAACTATGATTAAATTTATGAAAATAAATGGAAGAAGGGAATTATATTAAGCATTTGTTTGAGTTCGATTTCATGAAGAATTCATTTTTCTTCAAACTCATTTTTAATCATGTATTCTCACGATAAAATAATTTATACGTTTTTACCTACCTTTTACTCACACATTCTCCAAAAAATTACTATTATAAAATTTATTTTCTCAACAAATTGGGCTCGAAGAAACCCCAAGTACATGTATGTTAATTTTTTATTTTTTTAAACAAATAGGAAGAAACTGGAATCTAATTTTTGTAGGGTTGTTTTTTCCTAATTGTTTTTCCTTCATTAGTTGGCAATCCAAGTGTAGTATTGACTACTTCATAAGCCTAAGAAACTTGCTTGGCTCACGAGTATCGTCGCGTAAAATCATTGATGTTTAGCACCAGTTTAAGTGAAAGTAATTCTAATAATTCAATTTTTTTTTTTTTCATTTTCAAATTGTCTTTTATTCCTTAGTCAGCAATACATGTTAGCAAGCACTACTTCACGACGCTAAGAAACTCTCGTCTCATGAGTAAGTAATGTCATGTAGCATCACTAGTATTTAATATCAATCTAGATGGTATTGGAGTAAACATCTTCAAATTAGTTAAAATGAAAAATAAAATTGAAAGATGTGGGGTTCATCCACATACGTAGCATTACTCCTTTGTTCATTGACCACATCATATTTTTCACTAACGTCCAGTTGACTTCAATTAAAGTAAACTAATTCAATAAACATTTGCCGGTAAATTATACTATTAGCTCCCAACTTACTCTTCATCTATTAAAAATGAGCCAAAAATAGTCTTATCGATGTTTTGACTTGTTTTAACTGATTTTTAATTTTTATTTTTCTAATCATTAACTAGACATGTTCTAGTTTTTCACTTTAGAACCAACGGTTGAATTCAATTATCAAAACATATTGGTTATTCCATTTATTACAATTGAAGTCAATAACTATGATCATAGGTATCATCACCAGCTCCGTCGCCGTTCGAGGAGTTGACTGCAAGAGGCACTACAGCTTTACTCCTCCAGTTCGCCGCCACTGCCACAAACCCCACCCGTGAAATCATGGTGTTTGTAAACGGAAGCACTGATTCAATAACCATCTTTGAAGGCTCCGACGATGTCGAATCGATTATCGGAGAAATCCCAGAAAAGGGAGTGTTAATATCCGTATCAAAAGCTTCGATAGAATCCCTACCCGTGGTCCGAATTACAGAACCGGGTTTGGAGTGCCAGATTTGTTTATCGGAATTTGAAGTTAACGCGGAACTCAAACAAATGCCGTGTAGCCATAAATTCCATTCTGATTGTATCAACAAGTGGTTGGGGATCCGGGGTCATGTCCGTTTTGTCGGTACAAGATGCCGGAGGAGGAGAAAAAGGAAGAAACTAAGAGTGACGATGAAACGAGAAGAGCAGGTGAATTGAGGATCCTTATGTTCTTGTTGGAATTGTGTCATAATCAGTGAGAGGAACAGATCCCTTAATCCATAGAATGGAATATAGTTTGTTAGACGGCTTACTCTATAGGATTAGATAGTATATTCCCTTTGTACTGTGTAACAATATCCATCCCTTAACTTGTATATATATCAGTGTAAATGCAACAGGAAATGTATCCTTTCTTCAACCTTCAATTTCATTCTTATTCTCTACTTGGTATCAGAGCCATGGCCAATGCCGGTTCAGCAAATGCAACCATTTCCACCGAGCTAAACACCATAGCTACCACACAAACCAGTATACTCCAGACTTCTCCATTTGGAATGAACCTCACTCAAACTCCATCTGTGAAGCTGGATAAGAACAACTTTCTATTATGGCAAAATATGGTAATGCCTATAATAAAAGGTCATCACCTGGAAGAATATCTGCTGGGAACAAAGTCGTGTCCCCCAGAATTTGTTGCTACTCAAACCGCCACAGGTGAAGGAGGTTCTGTAGAGATGTCCCAGAACTTTGAGTATAGCAAATGGATCTCAACTGATCAATTGCTATGGGGTGGCTGTACTCTTCTATGACTCCTGAAATTGCCATGAAAGTCATGGGCAGCACCAGCTCCAGCAAATTATGGAGTGTCATCAAAGAAAGCTACGGCATAATGTACAGGTCACGAGTGACTTTTCTCACTGGTGAGTTACAGAAGGCCAGAAAGGGGCCTATGTCAATGGATCAGTACTTAGCAAACGTCAAGCAACTGGCTGACAAATTGCAAATTGCTGGGAAGATAGTTGATCATAAAGATCTAGTAACACAAGTCCTTGTTGGGCTAGATGAAGAATATACACCCATCGTGGTCCAAATCAACAGCAGAGATGCTATTTCTTGGCATGAACTCTCATTTGTGCTTATGACTTTTGAGAGTAGGCTTCAGTATCTTAATCAAGTAAGGAATGAAATGGCTTCAATAAACATCAATCAGTCCAGTGTGCAATTAGCTCAAAGAAGTGGACTAAGAGGTGGTCGTTTCAGCAGAACTGGGAGGTTCTCTAATACCAGAGGCAGAGCCAGAAGAGGAAGATCAGGCAAACCAGCTGAAAATCTAGGTCCATGTCAAATATGTGGCCTCAACAATCACTCAGCTAGCTGGTGTTATAATCGGTAGGATGATCGCTTCATGGGAAGCAAGCCAAGCACTCAGATGAGAACCTTATCTCCTTCAGCTTATATTACCTCACCTAGCACCTTTGAAGATTCTACCTGGTTTGCAGACTCAGGAGCCGCAACCACGTAACTGTCGACAAGAGTAATATGGTAACTGCCAAAAGTATGGAGGTAAGCAAAAATTATTTGTGGGAAATGGAAATTGTTTGAATATTGCTCATATTGGTGCAGCTGATATTCCCACACTAAGTAATATAACTCTTGCACTTAACGATTTGCTGCATGTACCTGCCATTAAAAAGAACTTGGTTAGTGTTTCACAATTAACATTTGACAATAATGTATTCATGGAGTTTTGTCCTCATTATTGTGCTGTTAAGGACCTGTAATCGAAGAAAACACTGCTACAAGGGAAACTTAAAGATGGACTATATCAGCAGCAGGTACCTGCCTTGAAGTCTAACCCTGCAATCAAAGAGTCAAGCCACCAAAATAAGCCCAACCTAGCAGCTCTCAGTGGTCTCAAGTTGTAGTCAGTCCCCGCCAAGTGTCAAGTTGTCATAGTTAAATTCTTGGCATAGGAAACTAGGCCATCCATCTAATTCTGTGTTGAGTCGAGTATTGAAGTCGTGTAATAAATCTGTCAAAGTAAATGAAATCCCAAGTTTCTGTGAAGCTTGTCAGTTGGGGAAATCTCATGCCTTACCTTTTAATAATTCTACTTCACATGCACAAAATCCTCTAGACGTAATACATATCGACGTCTGGGGACCTTCACCCAATAAATCTACCTCAGGGTTTAGACACTACATCTTGTTTGTGGATGACTATAGTAGATACATCTTGATTTATCCTATGAAGCAAAAGTCAGAAGCCTTAAGTGCCTTCATCCAATTCAAACAAATGGTGGAAACCAAATTTGAGAGAAAGATAAAAACATTACAATCGGACTAAGGTGGTGAGTATAGGAATTTTAACCAAATAGCCTTAAAATCAGGCATTCGACTAAGGTATTTTTGCCCCTATACGTCTGCACAGAATGGAAGAGCAGAAAGGAAGCATAGGCAGGTGTTTGAAATGGGGTTAACACTGCTAGCTCAAGCCCATATGCCACTTCACTACTGGTGGGAAGCCTTCATAGTAGCCACTTTCCTAATTAACTGTTTACCTACTTCCATACTCCAACATAACTCACCATATCAGACCTTGTACAAGAAAACTTTTGATTACACCACACTAAAACCCTTCGGCTGTACCTGCCACCCCTGCCTTAGACCATATTAGGAACACAAGTTTGATTTCCATTCCCAACGATGTATCTTCCTTGGCTATAGCATCTCACACAAGGGCTAAAGTGTCTAAACTCCTCAGGTAGAATATATATCTCACGTCATGTTATGTTTAATGAAGAAGAATTTCCCTTTCAGTCTGGGTTTCTTAACAAATATGCACTACCTGACACTACTACCATCAGCCTGTGTCCTCTTCCTTTTGAAAATAAGCTAAGTCACATATCTTCTTCACCACCTGCAGTTGATATAGTTCAACCAAGGTCTTCTCTTGTTACAGGTTCCTTCAGTAGGGACCTAAGTCTTGAAGCTGATGTAAGTGAAAGCAATGCTGGCAATACTGGGGCTGATCCTGAGGTTGATCAAACAGTGCCGATGAACCTGGTGAATCAGATGGAAACAACACAGTTGCTGTCTATGGTGATGTGAATTCTAATAGTCAGGATTGCTTACACAATGTTGGTCATCCTATGGTCACCCGAAGTAAGGCAGGAATTTTCAAACCAAAGCTATAGTTTGCTCAGAATCCAGAGGAGCTAGTTGAATCACAAAGTGTCAATGATGCCCTAATGAGTACTAATTGGAAAAAGGCAATGCAAGATGAATATGATGCCCTACTAAAGAATGAAACATGGAAGCTAGTACTTCCAGAGCCTGGAAGGAAGGTAATTGACAGCAAATGGTTTTCAAAATCAAATGTGATGCAGAAGGCAAAGTACAGAGGTATAAAGCGAGACTGGTGGCCAAGGGATTTTTGCAAACACCTGGAGTGGATTTCAGAGAAACTTTTAGTCCTGTCATCAAGTCATCAACTCTAAAAATCATACTTGCCATCGCCGTGTCTAAAGATTGGGATATTGGGCAAGTTGATGTTAATAACGCCTTTCTAAATGGCAAGTTGGAAGAGGTAGTCTACATAGAACAACCGCAAGGATTTGTGCAACAAAACACTCCACACTTTGTTTGTAAGCTGGAAAAATTTCTATATGGACTGAGGCAAGCCCCAAGAGCCTGGTATGACAAATTGAGGGATACACTTTTGCAATGGAAGTTCAAACAATCCAAGGCAGATAACTCTTTGTATTTCTCAGTTGATAAGAAACAGATTCTGTTTGTCTTAGTTTATGTAGACAACATCATAGATACAGGGAGTGACAAACAGCAGTTGCAGGTTTTCATTAACAGCCTGAATGAACGTTTTGCCCTCAAAGATATGGGAAGCCTTAGCCAATTTCTGGGGATTGAAGTGTACAGAGATAGAACTGGTCTATACCTCACTCAGAAGAGGTATCTAACTGATCTACTAAAGAAGTTCAAATTTGAAATCAAGCATAACTCCTATAGTAGTGGGAAAACAGATTTCGAAGAATGAAGGAAATCTGATGAGTGATCCTACAGCTTATAGAAGTGCAGTAGGTGGACTTCAATACTTGACACACACACGACCAGACATTGCTTTCTCTGTGAATAAGTTAAGCCAGTTTCTTTAATCTCCCACAAAAGCTCACTGGAAGGTGCTTAAGAGAGTCTTTCGGTACATACAAAGTTCTTTCAACTATGGTTTAGTAATTCAGAAAAGTGAAGATCTAAACTTAATTGCCTTTGCTGATGCTGATTGGGCTTCATGCCCAGACGACAAATGCTCCACTGCTGGATACTACGTTTACCTTGGTGACAGCCTGATATCATGGTGCTCAAAGAACCAGCATGTTGTTGCAAGGTCTAGCACAGAAGCCGAATACCGATCTCTAGCTCACTGTGTATCTGAGATCACTTGGATCCTGTCTTTGCTGAAAGAAGTAAATATATCACAAGAGGCAGTCCCCAAAATATGGTGTGACAATTTAAGTGCAGGAGCATTGGCTTCCAATCCGGTATATCATGTAAGGACGAAACACATAGAGTTGGATGTTCATTTCGTAGGAGATAAAGTGCTGAATAAAGAATTAGAAATTCATTACGTTCCCTTTCTGATCATACGACAGACCGTCATTCCAGATTTTTGTTCCTTAGAGACAAGTTAGGAGTGTTGAAAAGACACTCCATCTTGAAAGGGGGTGTTGGAATTGTGCCATAATCAGTGAGAGGAACAGATCCTTTAATCCATGGAATGGAATATAGTTTGTTAGACAGCTGTCATTACTCTATAGGATTAGATAGTATATTCCCTTTGTACTGTGTAACAATATTTATCCCTTAACTTGTATATATATCAGTGTAAATGCAACAGGAAATGTATCCTTTCTTCAATCTTCAATTTCATTCTTATTCTCTACTGTTCTTAACGGCCAGTAAGGGCTCTAATAGAAGGAACGACGAAGCCGGACATGACAATTCGAGTTCAGATAATAGGAGTAATTCTGGTCCAGATGGCAATAACGGGTTGTCTAATCAAGACATGGAGATAGATTCATAGCTGTTGATTCTGTTAATTTGTTTAGATTTCCTTCTTTTTTTTGAATTTTTCAAAGTTTGGAATATAAGAAAATTACAATTTTTTAATTTCTTAAAGGTCTTATGTATTTTCTTTTCCTTTTCCTTTTCCTTCTCCTCATCCTCTTCTTGGGTACTTTTTGTTGGGATGGGCATAATGCGTCTCTGCAAATTATAATTTGATCAATTGAAATGCAACAAATCAAAGTAACAAACTTACTTGGATTGAAAACGATGGTATAAGACAAAAAAAAAAAAAGACAATGCATAATGCAAAATTCAGAATGGATTTGTTCAATCAAGGTGTGTACGAAATTTTTGGCAATCGTCTTATAAAATTCTCTGACATTTTCTTTCAGTAGAAGCATTTCAAGGAATCAGTGAAATTCAAAATGGAATTTTCTCTTTACTTTTTGGATGATTTTGAAGCAAAAAAAAAAAAAAAAA